CCTTGTTCTTCTCTGCTATGACTTTTTCTTTCTGGAATACCAAGTTCGAGTTGAACTTGATCAGTGTCGTTTGTTGTCTTCGCCTTTTTTGAAGGCCTCAAATCCATGTCCCTTATTGCTTCAATCCAGCGCGAATACAAGGCCAGCTTCGGGCTTGAACTAACATCGCAGGTGCGGGGGTGTATGGCGAAATAGGTTGGTGAGAGTAGTTTTGTTTATCGGTAAGCTGTCATGCCTGAGCACGGTAGATGCCTGAGGTGCAATGGCACATGGTGAGCATGGCTTTATATATTAAACACTGAAATATCCCTTCTGAAGTGGAGTGGTGTAGTGGTATCCGTACCTAATTACCTAAACTCTAAAATCCGCTCCTAAAATCTCTCTCCCACTACCTGCTCTGCTTCATTTTTGGCTGCGAGTTCGAAATCACTGGCAGTCTTTTTTTTGCGATTTTTGACTCATACATGTGAAGTGGTCTGGTGTTGATGCTCAGCTGCAAGTCAGGGGCTCCGCTGTTGGTAGACCATTGTTTAGGTAGACACTCATCCATAGCAATGCAATACGCTCATTCATGATCTCACAAATACAAATCAGCTGCAGTCATTCTCTTTGTATCTTAGTCCTTCGATCTGGAGGTCTTGTTGGATATTTTTCGTCGTGGGTGCTGTGGTTGGTGTCGCTACACTGAATGACATGATCTCAGAAGCCCCTTTTCTCGAACTGCAGATGCGCACTGCGAGATCAAATCGTCAAACATTGACGAAGAAGGCTCTGGGGAGGATATTCCTTTCCGGGGAGAACTTCCAGACCCGATGAATCATCCACGGGGGGTGCCACGTCCTCATTCTGCGCCTCCGCTGCTGCCTGGACCGAAGTGTAGGTTCACGGCATAACCTTGCCAACGCCAGTCCGTCGACCTTTATATAGCCAAATGATGCGTCCACCTTCCAGCGAAGTAGCTAAAATATAAACACAAGATACGTATGGTGTAACGGGGAGTAAAACCTTCGACACCCTTCGCTTTTTGGTGTTTGTGTCCTTCTCGGGTTCAAGTCCAAGGCTCACAACGCTGGCTTTCTTTTTTTGCATTTTATATCCCTTACCACCTTCCCGTTCTATCAAGAATGATATTTTAATCCATTGCTATCATACAGTAGGTGTTTTAGTCTGCTATCTCCCAAGACGAAGCCGTGATTCCTCCATCCGCCCACATCACACTTTGTATCTAGGTTTACGCACAGAATCTTATCAAAGCCAGCCTTTACCCTTACTACCAGAATAACACATTCGCCTCCAACGAAGTAGCTACAATGTAACAGGCGTAAAGCTACAAGTTTGGTGTAGTGGAACAAGTGTTACAGCACCCTTTGTTTATCTCGGGTTCGAGTTTCAACAACTCGTCTCCCTTTTTTCTCTTTTTGCCGTTCTTAGAGTTCGATATTCTCAACAACAACCTAAGTTTTCCGTAGCCTGGTATAGTCTAGTCTCGATTCTGTAATTAGCATAGAATAGAATGGTCATTCAAAACGCCGGGTGCAGTCTTGATCAGCAGCGCTGGGATGTCGCTTTATCAACCCTCTTGGAGGCGAGTTGACGCAGTGAGTAAATCTCCTTGGACAGCCAGATGTTCAATATCACCTCATACGATGGTATTTTAGTGTCATCCAATTGAGCTTAGTGGTCACTGCTAAGTATCTTGAGTCGGTTTCGCAGCCAGAGCTTCGTCCTTGCTATGGCCATCATTGAACGCGAGCGTTCCGTGAGTCTGATCATCAAAGGGAGAACGTTCGCTTCCTATCAGCAGGTCTTTGCTTTCTCCAGAATACAGGCGATGGCGATATATAATGTCAGATTTAGTCGGCAGTCAGCAGACAAAGCTGGAGACAAAGGGAGCGAGGACCAGGGTTTGCATGGTCCAAACACTTGCACCAAAGCACAGCCTCCCACCAGGCAGCATCCAAGCAGGCATCCACTTGTCAGTCCCTTATAAGCCGTCACAACAAATTGTTTCTCAGCGAAGTAGCTAAGAAAACATCTACGTACCGCACCTTTAGTGTGGTGGTATTACCGTCCCTTGGTACCAAACTGGTCCAATTCCTCTTAACTGAGTCGTTGCCTTCGCTTTTTGGCTCTTGCGTTCGAGTCGGGCTATAATGTTGTCGTAATCTTTTGCGCATTATACTCTCCATTTTTAAATCGGCCGCATGTACTCTTGCATTTATCTGGTTCCTTTATCACTCTGGCAGTCCCTTTTTTGTTCTTGGTCGTGATGAGCAGGAGAATTCAATGTCAGCCCTAGAAGGTAGGTACGTAGTATTGATGGTAAGTGCTTACGATGTCTCAGAATGGACCATGGCCCACTACAGGAGCCGTACTCCACTAATGCCCCCTAGACCCCTGACCGTTGACGCGCCTCGCAACGTAGATCCTCTAGACTAAACATCTCAGTTGCATTCCAAACATTATAAATGGAACCAATTCTAAGGATTCACGAGAAGCTCGGCTGTGTTCTCCTGCGATTACGCGTCAACCTCGAGGTTAACTAGCCCAGCATACGCAGACAGCAGACAGAAGACAGCAGAATATCCCTCGAGTCATGATATGACCAAACAACCAACAACCCAAAGCTCAACCAACATCGTCTCTACCCTGTTCGCTGTCCACTCTTGTCTTCTTCATCTCGGCGTTTACCTGTTTCGACAGATCAAACCCCGACAACTCCCGTTTTAACCCTCAGGAGACCTGCCGATCACAACCTTGCGCAAATCTTACGCTATTGTTTTCTCGAAAAGTCCATGGTTTCGACGGCTCACAATTGGCTGTAATATACACGCTACAATGCGTTGGAGTTGTATCCGGCTCCTGTCACTACTCCCTCTCTGGAAAGGACCCGATAGGATGCACGTGGATGATTTTGTAATGGGCTTTGCAATGACATAACAAAATCCGCGACATCGCTCACCAAGTGCTCTTTGTAATGGAGCCACTATCATGCTTTGCCGAGAGGGCTAGGCGGATCCTGCAGCCGTTTCATACGAGGTTGTGATTTCGATTATAAAGAGAGTTGTACGCTGATTCGGCTGGCCTTGGTCGGTGCCCGGATAAAACATGCTGCTGTTGTATTGTGCAGACGGCTCTACATCATCATCATGCGCAGCCTGTTTCTGAAGGCCTCAACATGTATTGCTTTTCTCTTATGCCTCAGCTGGTATGGACAGGCACACTTCTACCGCGATCCTGGGAGTGTCTTCTTCGACAAGACGCGGGCGTATGAAACCCACTACTCCAAGAATCGCAAAGTCGAAGCACAACAAGTGATAGAGTCATACATGAAGGAGAACTCTGCAACGGATCGAAATAAGAGCCTTTGCATAGCACTTAGCTCTGTGACACGGCAGACGCAATACCTCCCGGTATGGACTTCACCAACTTTGCGGGCAATCTACTAAACCAGCGACGAACAGATGACAGTCGGCAGTTTGTTACACGGCCTTACGAAACAGGAGAGAGACGATCTTCACATCTCTGTTCTCATTGCAGAACCCGACCCCACACGCCATCCGAACTGGAACGAGACATGGCTTCGCCAAGCAGTCGACGATGTTTTTACTTATGATCTCGACGACAAAACGATGGCGCACTTGCGCCAACTTCAAAAGACCCAAAGCTACCTTGAGAAAGGTGTCTTTGACTACACCTATGCCCTCCAGCGATGTTACGACACAGGCGCATTGTATATCGGCATGTTTGAGGACGACATCATCCTGGCAGATGGATGGTTCATACGGACCCTTCGAGGGTTAGCGGGAATACCAGGTTCTACCCAGGATTGGTTGTTCATGCGCTTGTTCAACCAGGAGAGGTCAACAGGCTGGGGAAGCCGCGAGATTGGTGGCAATCACGAGCACTGGATCATCTTGGGCGTGGGTATGGGAATCTCAGCCCTTGTGCTCTTAGCCCATAAACGATGGAGAGCTTCCCGCAGGTATCTCGACCTAGAAACGCTCTTCGTAGTTGTGTTCATTCTGGTGCCAGGGCTGGTGATACTACTATACCAATCTGGCAAAGCATCTTTGTTTCCCCCATCACCGGGGGTGTTCAACGAGCCGTTTGGATGCTGCTCGCAAGCAATGATCTTTCCACGCGTTCAAGTCCCACCGTTGATAACCTATCTTCAGGGAAAGAAGAAAGGACAGGTAGATCTGATGCTGAATGACGTTGCAACGGAGAACGGTCTAGGGAGGTATGCGCTGTATCCAGTGCAGGCGCAGCATATAGGTGAGTTACTTCCGTGTCAATTGAGAGATGTGTTCTAATTGCTCTAGGTATTGAATCAGCAAGGAAGACGACCAAAGACGAGGCTCAAGCTATTTGGAGCATGGCTTTCGAGGACTTGGATGCGAAGGCTCTGAAGAAGGAACATCAGAAGATGGTTAGTCAGTACCAATTATGGCGGAATGAGATTGTGGCTAGAGGGGAAGATTGATCCATCTTCTTAGCGATGGATAGTAAATAAGCGAACAAACATGTCCAGGCATATGTTATCTACGTGCTCTTCTCAAACTGTTCTGTTTGTCCGGGTTACCAACTCGTGGTATGCTACAGGTCGAGGCGTCTGCCTGCTAGAGCCAACAGATTCTCCAATAAGCCCACGGATACCCCCCTCGTTGGTCTTGATATGCTCTAATCGAACAAACACCAAGTAGAACTATCATGCCGAATGCAGGATGCGGCATGATCTAGACTGGAAGGGCAGCAGCTATTCTTAAAACGGCAATGATTGGCTTGTTGAATGTCAGCGACGACGCTTGCAGGGGCTGTCATCAGTTGCAAACTGTCCAAATGTTTGATGATTGACAGGGTGTATCGTGATGCTCTGCAAGGTAGAGCTTCTTATTCAAAATTCACGTTATCAGAGGTACAGATGAGCAAAGACTCTATAATCTGAAATATTTCGCCGACAGGTATCAATTCCCCACTAGCGACAGCCAATGGGTCGAGCCCTTGTGGCGTAATGGCTAACGCGTCTGACTTCTACTTCGAAATCAGAAGATTCAGAGTTCGAGTCTCTGCTCGGGCTTTTCTTTTTTTTACTGGTATTGTATCTATTCGATGGTATTCCCAAGTCAAAAATTGAAGACTGTGGTGTCCAGCTGTTCTAGCATCAAAGCATTGAGCCTCACGGCCTCATAAGAAGTCTTGCCATTCGATCAACACCAAAATGCCAGAGCCCAGCACTTTTGGGTTTCACAGTGACGATCACTAATATTAAACAAGAAAGAATTGCTATCTGCCCCCAGTGCTTACTATTAAACCAAGACCCGTGGTTTCTCAACATCAAAATTGATTGTGTGATGGGCAGAGGTCTGACGCACATGGTAGCTCAAATCACCACTCGACCACGTTTGTTCAACTACTTTCAGCTACGATACCTGGATGATATTTAACTGAGAGAAACTAAGAACAATGCACTGGGTACAGTTGTCAAAAAACATCCCGATTGATCTGCTGGGACTGGACCATGAAGGTAATGATGGCGATCAGGACAAGGAAGAGGGTGAGGTGTGAGGCGTGATGTTGGGATTGAGGTTTCAAAATTAAATCAAGTGCAGGGAAGACTTCTGTAGTGTCTAGAGAGCTTTATCACTCTTCAAATATGATGAAAGGAATTGATGTAATAGACAGCAAGCTTGAGTTGAGACAGTTTTTTCCTAATCTTCAGTATATAGACGCTGGCTAAGGTGCTTATTGTAACGATCACATCTGATTAGCCCCTCTGGCGTAATGGTTAACGTGTCTGACTTCTAATCAGAAGACTCGGGGCTGTGATGAGTTTCTTGGGGATGAATATTATTATAATTGTACCTTCCTGGGACAAAGCATGTTACGACCCTTTGCGCAATCCTGATTACCAATGGGAATCTCGAGAAATCAAAGGGGATGGTGGAATTTGTCTATTGGAATAAATATATAGTGATGGGATGAGAACTCTATGCTACACCATGAGTGCTGTGGTTAATAGAGGATCAATCAAGCTCGCAATTGCAGTGATTGGGCTCACGGCATCACGACTTGGTCTATATACTCACCTCAGAAACTTGAGTTCTGAACAGACTAATTCAACTCATAGCACTTTCGCATTGATATAATAAACGCACAACTGGTAACTGACACCGCTCACTACAGTATTGATACCTCTGCTTAGCCTCCTAACCCGCCTACCACCGCACGTCCACCTGAGCATCACTCATATGGAGACCACAAGACCTCAAGTTGTGAGCCTTGGGCTCCTGCATTCGTATAGTGCTTGCGGTTTGCTTCATGGGGTTGAAACTGTTGCCTGAGATGTCTTCAAAAGGTATAACGTTCTACCACAACATCCAACCGTCAGTTGCACCAGTCGCATCAGCCCAAACCTGCCAGAGTCAGGGACCACTATGCAGTGCGTGAAATCTGGACCGTTTATAGAGCTTGACTCCCTTAGCTTAATAGAAAGCCCTCTATGGAGTTATTGCATGAATTAGTCTAGCAAACAACTTGCTGCCCTGTCTGTATAAGAGCGCCATCAGAACAACACCCAGGTCGAGTTCATAATTCCCAACGTCAGTGCACATTGTGAACGCGGCTCCCATTCTTCGCTATAAAGCGTCCGGAGATCGAACCCAACCCTGGAAGAGAGTCAGATACTTGGTGTTTGCAGAGAGTTACGAGCTCCATCTTCAACACAAAGGTATTCTCGCGCCGCAAGGAGAGTTACTGAGTAATCTGCGGATGACTGTAGCTCCTCGTCAGAGCTTGTGAGCATAACTAGTCATAGTACGGAGGAAGCTTCCTCCGTAGATAAAGCCAGAATTTAGGAGGTTATCTTGACGTCGTTAGTTCTGATGGGTGCTAGCATCTGCCTTAGCGCAATACTACCACTAACTCTAACTGACATCCTTGTCCGACACCAACCTTGAAAAAATCTAATACGTAAAAAGATCTGAAATCTGAAAAAGAAAAAAGAGATGGCTGTAATGATTATCCCCTATGCGATGTTAGTGATGAGATGCTTGTGAGTGATACATTGGGAACTGATGTGCTTACCCTCAGGAAGCTTCATGATACGGGAGATGTAGATGGCGGCCGAGTAGCTGGAGCCGAATACATCATCCTTCTCACTTAGGATTCCGAGGCCAGTAAGTTTCTTCAAGAGTTTTTTGAGATCTTAGGATATATATTTTAGTTAACCAAACCTCCTCATCAATCAAATCTGATAGGCCCCTCTGGCGTAATGGTTAACGCGTCTGACTTCTAATCAGAAGATTGCGAGTTCGAGTCTCGCGAGGGGTTTCTTTTTTATTTTTTCCTCAAAATGCCAATTATGATCTACCAACATGTTTGGGTCAATCCGGCGCGAAATCATGGCTTGTTGGTGAGGTTGTCGATTTTTCTATCCCTTTGGAGACGAGATGGCACCCTCTATGTATATGTGGAGACTTCGACCCAGTTTTGATTGGCTGTAGATCGATCCGCCACATATGTCAGCCTCAAGGTGGCTTGACTGTGAGACCAAAAGTCTCGATCAGCAGGCTGCATTATCAAAGATACATTGATCTTGGTTCGATCTACACCCTGTAGGATGTACCTTTGACTTTGATATAAAGCCTCTAATTGGATAGGGTCTCTATCGTTACATAAAGGGTGCCATCTCGTCTCCCACAGTATTGCTACTAAGGATCCTCCCGGCGTGGTGACTCAACGCCGATTTCAGGGCCCCACATTCACTTACAACACCATCAAGGCGACTTCGCAACAAGAACAACAGGGGAAAGCCGCTTCATGTACAGGAAAGATAAACAATTCCCAGTGAAGTATGCAAATAACTGGTTGGTCTGTTCGAGATTGCATGCATATAACACTCTCTGACGGGAGCCTTCGCTTTTGGCGGTGGACGAGTCTATTTTTGTGTAACTTCAAAGCGTGACCCCGAAGTGATTTGTCTCTGAGATAGCATACCATCTTTTTGTTCTTTTCATATAGATAATAGTAAACTTGAAGATGTGAAAAGCATCAATTGCCAAACCAAATTGTAAACATCGTTTGATGTACATACCATCATCTCTACAGTCCCCAGTGACACTCTAGGACATGCAGCCCAGTGACCAAGACCAACTAAGTAACCCAGCCAATCGTTCCATGGACACACCCTTATATACTAAACAAACAAACACATATCTCAGCGAAGTAGCTTCATAAACCCAATGATTATATGTTGTTGTAAACTCGGAAAACCCCCCATATATTTCTTCGCTTTTTGCCTCGAGAGCATGCGTTCGAACGCAAAAAATGATACATCCATCTTCTCAGCGTTGCGTCTCATTCTGGTTTCTCTTTTTTTTGTTTCATTTCCTCTCTTATACATAGATAGCTAGATGTCCTCAACACTTCCCATGAACGTTATTCCCATCGTCTCCAATGCGTGACCGTCTTCTGTGTTGTCCTTCAAGGCATCAGCCTTGGACATGGGCATCTACCCTGCACAGCTCCGCCATCATCCGCCGATCCCCATTTCTCCGCCCTGTTTACGGAGTACCACTAGCTTACAGCCCATATAGACCATTCTAATTGCAAGTCTCTCAGCGAAGTAGCGTTGACCTCCAGTCTTACAATTGAAACAATCAATCGTTTGGTCGAGTGGTTGGGCTTGCTCTCCACTCGATCCTCTCCCTCGGGAGACTTCTTCGCTTTTGTCGCTCGACGGTTCGATCCCATTATTACCCTCCAACCATTTCTTTTGTCGTTATTTTTTAATGACAGTCTTTTCCCAGAAATTCACATTTCATCATCTCGACCTCATCCCTATTATCTTTTGTCTATATTACCTCTCATCTTCATCGTCCCCCAAAACACTGTAGCCTTGGGCCATACCAGTGTCTGTCTTCGAGCTCATCATAGACACTCACTACGTCACACGTCCACAGCACTACACCACCATCGGGCAAACATTCACATTACGAAGACAAATTTAGTGGTAGCAATTTGATTCATTCAGCTACCCAAACTAAGCAAAGGTGAAAGGTCCAAACCGAGCGATTTGACGCTGATATATCCGAAACTCCAGTTCCACCTGGAACAAAACCCTAAGACAAAAAGAAGAAAAGAACCGACTCAAACGTGTCTGCGACGTTGAGCGGAAAACGTTGAGCAATGTTGCCCGGGTATTCGCATGATCTATACGATCTCGCTGGGTGTCGCACTTTCATCACACTACGATGAGAAGAGGGCAATAGCAGCGCAGAAGTTGTTGCGGTTGTCCTTGTCAAGGATGGCAGACTTGCCATTGACATTGACCATGTTGACGCTGGCCTTGGTGCTGATACCGTAAAGGTGCACCTGTGAGCTCTCGAGGCTGATCATGTTGTCCTGGCAGTTGTTCTCCCCAACGCAAACCTGATCGTAGTTGTCGAAGAAGCTGTAAAGACCACCACCAAAGATGAAGATGTCCTTGGAGTTCACAGCGCGAACACCCCAGGTGCGGGCACACCTCTTAGAGCCACCAGTGCAGGTAGCCTTGAAGTCAGGGTCGTAGAACTTCTTGTTGACAGTGAAGGGAACGGTCGCGTCGGGGTTGCCCTGCATGTAAGCAGTCTCAGTCTGAATGAGTGACATGTAGACATTGGCAGCATTCTCAAGGTGGTAGTTGTAAAGAACGCTGTGCTCGGAAGCAGTGCCCCACAACCAGGAGCCCTTGGTGCTCTCAATCAAGACACCACGACCGTTGTAGAGGTTGATCTGGGAGTGGTCGCTAAGGTCAAGCTCGTGATCAGCAACCCAGAACCAGGTGTTCTCGAGGTAGACGCTGGACTGCTTGGTCATGTGGAAAAGCATGAAAGCACCCATACACTCAGCCTTGGGCTCAGTCTTAACCGTGGGGGTCTTCTTGCAAGTATCGGACTGGAGCTGAGTACCAGCAGAGCCACCGACGCGGAAGTGAACGTCAAAGAGGCCGGCAGAGCCAGGGGTTTGGCCAGCGACGTTGAACTCCATCAAGATAGCACCGGGCTGGGGTCCGAGAGTCTCAAACATGAGGTCCTGGATCTCGACATTGCCGACATCACCAGCCTGACCGACTTGCCAGACGGGCTTGGGGTTGGCCTGATCCTTGAAGTTCTTGTCGCCACCAGCCATGATGAGAGGCCAGACCTCGCCAACAATCTTGATGTTCTTGGGAACCTTGACAGTATCGGTAATGACATAGGCACCGTGGTCGAAGTAAACAATCTGGCCCTCCTGAACACTGTTAAAGATAGCTTGGATAGCAGCAGTGTCGTCGGTCTTTCCATCACCCTTGGCACCCTTGGACTTGACAGAAACAAAGTTAGAGGCGGGAACGGTGTTGTACTGAGGCTTGCTCTTGGTGACGACGTTGCCGTTGCTGGCGAGGATAGCCTTGGGCTTCTGGATGGGAGTCTGAGCGCTCTGAACAGCCTTGCCGCTACCGCCAGTATAAGCACGACCTTGGACCCACGAGTTGATCTTGGCGTTGCCAGCAAGGATGGTTGCGCTGGTACCTCCGTTCTTGACAGCGACAGGGACAGCAGAAGACATGTCGACGTTGTCGAGGATCAGAGTACCGTTGGTGCCGGGCTGGCCCGGGTTGTAGTTGGTAAGGAGACCAACTTGGGTGTTGGCAATCTTGCTGTCAGTCAAGAGGATGGAGCCGACGTTCTGGACGCTCCCGCCAGCGGTCATGTCAATTCCAACCTTGGCACCGGAGATGTCGAGGCCGTTGAGGGTCCACACCCAGTTCCAGTTCATGTAGATGGCAGTGTTGCAGTTGCGGAAGGTCATGTTGCGGCTAGTGAACTGTTGGCTGCCAAAGAAGCCACCATAGCGTCCACCGATGAAGGTGAGGTCGGTCATGAAACCACCAGAGCCGTTGTCGATGAAGATACCCTGCTGCTTGTTGTCCTCGCTAGGGTCCTCGATCATCTGGAAGACGATGTTCTGGAGAGAAGTGGCCTGGGCAACCTGCCAGTGGATACCGGTTCCGGAACTCTTGGGCATACCAGTAAGGTCAATCTTGAAGTTACGGACCTGGCGGAAGAAGTTGTTTTGGTTGGTGTGCCAGTTGGAACCGTCGGGGTTGTAGGGATCGGCATCGATGACAGCCATACCCTCGAAGTTGGCAGAAGGCTTGAGAACGGGAAGCTGACTGAGATCACCAATCATGTGTGTGTAGTAGTAGGGGAGAATAGGCTTGGAGACAACGTAGGTACCAGGAGGGAAGTAAACAATAGCAGGGGTAACAGTGGAAGAGTCGCAGCCCTTGCCGCAACGGTTGCCATCAGAAAAGGCGGCGTTGATGGCCGCAGTGTCGTCAGAGCTGCCATCACCCTTGGCGCCGTAATCCTTGACGTTACGGAAGATCTTGTAGTTGCCAGTACCGCCATAGGCAACGGCACCCTGGCGCTTGATAGACGAGAACCACCAAGAGCCGGCAGCAGCAGGAGCCACAGCAGGAGTGGTGTACTGAGGAACCGCAGGAGCAGTAACCTCGACCTCGATAGCCTGGGGAGCAGCCTCAACCGGTAGGGAAAAGAGGCGCATCGCCAGGAGAGAGGCGGTGACGATAGTCGAAAGCCCCATGGTGACGACGAAGAGCCAGCTAAATCGTTGGTGTCTTGTTGTTGAGATCTGATGTTGATCTAGAGAGAGTTGTGTTGGTATTCCAGCAGAATACTGTGAAGAGTCAGTTTGATGCTCGCGATGTATGTGAAGGATGATGAACCGTGCAAAGGGAAAGGTTTGAGATGTGCAGTTTGTAGGAGGAAATGAACAATAGAAGAAAAAGGATTGAAGGAACAATGATGTAATGAACAGATGAACAGATGAAAAGTAAACAAAGGACAATAGCAACAGTGGGATGTGAATGAGAGTGAATATTGCAGCAAGTGAAGGTGGTGGCAGCTGTTGGCGGCCGTTGACGGTATAAGTGATGGGATGATATATTCTGCCACCTCGTCGCAGTGCCACGGCAGAAGTGGGCTGGAACTTATTCTTGAATCCCAAGTCACTCGAACTTTATGCTTACTTACTTCCGGCACTTGCGGAAGCGGCACGTGGGATGAAATTGCGAAAGGATATGATCCCCTGTTTCCGGTTGCATATGGAGGCTTAAAACTTACCAGTAGAAAGGCCGAGTTGATTGCGAATAAGATGATATCAAGGGAGCGATGATAAGATGGCGCAAGCCTTTTAAAAAGGATAAAATTTGCAACAAAAAAATGAGAGAGGGTGGGTGATCCAAAGCAATGACGCTGTTCCAGACAAGCCAAGTAGAAAGAAAG